TTCATGAAGTGGGGGCAGCAAGAAGTTCCTTTCTTCCATATGTTTATGATTGCTTGGTTGTGTGGAACATAATGCATTGTCCGTGCTAGTGTTTTCCCCAAATTAAACAGGCTCTGTAAATGGGAAAGAGTTCTTTTCATGTGATTGAGAGCTATAGTGTAGTAGTGGCCATAGAATTGAATACCACTACTTGTTGTAGTAGGCTCGGCCCAGCTTAGATTACGTGTGTGTGTACAATTTCATAGCTGGTGCCAGGTAGGAAGGAATTGGGTGGTGGTATAACATGAGTGACGCTATTCTGTGTAATGTGTTGATACTTTGTCATACGGTGTTGATGTAGGGCGCGGCCATGTTGTTTGCTGGATAAGACAATGCAGAAGTGACGGCGCCATCAGTGGAACGGTTTGTTATTGGGTTTGGCGGGACTGAGACCAAATCAGTGGTGGACATAATGTTATTGCGATTGTTGATATCAGTGTTTGACTCTTGATGGGTTAGTGTTTCTGTATATATATATGTACGGCGGATGCAGGTGAAAGGAGCAAATCACGCTGTCTTATTCCTGGGGTGGTTTGACTTGTTGGTGGATGTCCCGGTACAGCAGTTGATAGTGACTGTTTGCTGCCAGACTGCATACCTTGTATTAAAGCTTTGAGGTCATTCAAGTTGAGCGCGACTATGTTTGGGCTGTTGGAGTTTTGCTCACCTGCTGAGGTGGTCACTCAGTTTGCCGATGTTGCTGCAGTAGGTGAATTTGCTGTGGGAAATTTGTGTGGACGTCCTTGTAGAGCTTTGGTAAGTGCAATTTCGTCTGTAAAGCAAGCTGGTTTGCGAGTATTTCGTTTGCGTAAGGATGCCATGATTGGTATTGAAACTGGTGGATATTGCATTGGTGCGATTAGGCTTGCTTGAGGTAGATATGATATATGCTGGAGCGACTGGTAGGTTTGGTGCTGCTTTAGTCCACAAGGTTTGTTGACTGTGGCTGATGTCTATGCTGGAAACGATATAGTGATAATGAAGGTGTATGGTTGAGCATGCATAGACAGCAGCATTGGACAATGACATCCCTGTTTATATAGTGAGACCTAAGATTAGCCAGACCAGGTTTGACACGTGTGAAATGCCAAGAATTGCAAAACAAAGGCTGGATTAGGCATCGGACAATTGCTATGTTTACATGACAGCATTATATCTATGCTCCTCTCATCGATTAACAGGAGATTATCTCCAATGCATCTAAACGGTTAGGGCTGATATCTGCCAGAGTTCAATTCAGTGCGATCAGAGCCAGAAGAAATAGTTGCCTCAAATTCTTAGTATGAAAACAACATCGCTGGTTTCGTGATTGTGTTGTTTCTTTACATGGCACGATGCTGTTGTGCTGGGAGAAAAAAAGAAACAGTTATGAGTCTCTAAGACAATAACAACAACTTTATTACACTAATATGCCATCAGAGGGCGCAGTGTTGTAAATAAAATAAAATACAAATCAAAAAAATACAGCAGCTAAGTAAACTAAACTATGCTAAAATTAAAATAAATTAAGAGATGTAAAAAGCCTAAAAGGAAAAAAAATATGTTAATTACAGAATTCTCACACTGTAGAGAATGCACTAATGTTATGATTTAGGTATCTCGAATAAACAGGATACACAGCAGCTAAAATACGCTGAATGTGTTACAGCCTAATCGCTTAAGTTATTTTCATGCAAAATTACCATATTGTAATTGTACAACTGTTGTGATATGTGTAACAGTTGTCAACCTAAACCTAGTAGGAAAACATTGCCTTACCGTGACCGCTTCTACGATTTTTATCTTTGGTGTCCTTAAAACGTATCAATTGCACCATTTTTCTGTTTTCCATTGATGATATCAATCTATCACAGTAATTCTTTACTCTGCGAAATAGATATTAGGGCGTGTACATCTTCGTCAAACCAGAAATTGCATGAGATTACATAATTGAAATGAGAGGTTCCTTGATAAAGACGATTGAGGGCGTGATTTTGGCTCCGATAGTTGGGCCCTGCGTATATACGGTCGTAGCCATGTTGGGGCACAACCCTATCAGAGTTCAACCCTGAGGGTTTATTGGAGCCGAACTTGGCTCGAGCCAAAAGCGTATACACATTCATTTTCGCGAGCAACAGGGCTCCGATAAAATGATGTCGTGTGAAATCGTAGCAAATGTTTGCAAAGCTTAGTCTACCCTGCTAATAAACAAGGTGTGAGAGTTACAAGTTGGCGAATAATACATAATATAAACGTGCAATTACATTTGTAGGCCCTAAGGTCTGAAATAATAACAATCAAGAATTAACCACTTAAGAATATTAAGCGCCTGAACACTACAAAATGAAATGGGGGCGCTAAACTATCAAGACACGTGCAATAGAAAGTGTACAGTGTGCAAACTTAATGAAACTGAAGATGAACAACATATTCTATTGAAATGTGTTCATGAAAATGACAGAAATCATATATTTAAAAGGACAAATATATCTTTGCCAAGCACTACAGATTATGATAGCAATGTTGAATAGTACCAACAATGTAACAGTTACAAAATCACACAATACATATATACACAAATATTTCATTGCTTTTTATTTTTGTCCATGCATATTTATTTTTTTCTTTATTTTTTTATTTCAACAGCATTCTTTATTGTACTTTACAAGTCAACAACCTAATAAGGATACAATTGAAATAAAGTAATTATTATCATTATCAAAAATAATAAATCTAAAAGCAGTTTTGAGTAGGGAAAACATCAAAAGTTAAACGTCACGCAATCAAAAGTTCTACAAAAATCATTACATTTATAAAGCAAAAAAGGTAAACTCTGAAAGCCTTGAAAGTTGCTGACAGCCCTTTGAATGGGGACAGGATGTAATCCTTGGTCCAAGTAGAGGTCAGAAGGAGGTTGCTGCTGCTAATGACCGAAGTGACCCCTATGAAAAAAAAATATTGATATGAAGAAAGTGGTAATGGAAGGCATGAGTAATGATGTGATCATGGACCCAGTTGAAATTGTGATAAAAGCATAAGTGATGATGTGTTCACGAGTGGTGATGTGCCACCTAGTGGCAAGGTAGCAATGCATGGCTAGGGTGGAGCTAAATCCTGGTGGAAAAGTTGAGCTTATGCGGCCCAGTTGAATGGTAATGAAAGCATGAGAGATGATGTGCTTACTGCCTCAGTTGCAAGGTAGAAATGCGCAGCTAGGGTGCTGCTAGGTCATGGGTAACAAGTCACTGGACCATCTACCAAGGGTTTCTATGAGGTGGTCTGGAAGGTGAAAGCTGGCTGCTGTTGTTGCTGCACCAATGTAAAATGAGTGGCCAACAAACAGCTGTGATTACACGCCTAATCTAGTCAGAAGCAGGAGTGTGAAGCAATCAAGTGGTTTCTTTTCTGAGAGCAAGAATAATGGTTCAGTTTGTGAAGCTTTCATTATCTGGCAGACTGTAATGAATTGCCAGAGTGTTGTAACTGGATAAATAGGGATAGTGGTATATTCCAATGGAAATGGTATAGACTGACCTTTACGCTGAGGGAATCTAGCAGAGCAATGGAGAGAAATGGGTTGGCATCCAATGTGAAGCTGGAGGCCCATGTTCCTGGATACAGTGACTGCAAAATAACGATTCCTAGTCATTGAAAAGTCAAAGTTAGGGTTTCCATGGTACGCTCAGCATCAAAGGGGGATGAGTCGACAGTCAAGAATTCATCCAATAAATGGAAAATTGTTTGGATCCTGTAAACATGTGCGATCCAGCAAAAGGCTGATGATAGATGGTTAAAGATTTGAGGGCTGGAGCATGAGCTAAACGCCAAAAGCCAGACGGATGAAGAAGCTGTTTTCCTACCTTATGTCATACAGGGACCAGAGTGACGGGTGAAAAGGCATCTACAATATCTGTTTTGGAAAGCTGGGTGCTTCTTCCTTGTGTTTGAATAGCTCGGACAGCTTTGTCAATATTAATGTAAGGGAAAACTCATCTTTATCAATTAGCGCATTGTTGTTTTAAGATGTTATGGGGTGATGACACATCATCAATTAGGCGTTTCTTAGTGGAATATTTATTCTCAACAACCCCAATTGGGCTGCAATGGTAGATATCAAAAGGGCCATTTTGAAAAGGACCGAATGACGTTTTTGTAGACGAGAATGCCATTTCATTTGAGTTTATTTTTATATGTTCTACAGTATTAACACTGATAAAGGATTGTACCATTTTTAGGTACTATTTTGCAACAATAGAAAAGTCATTCATGTCATCCAATGTTCATTTTGAAAAGTTAATTTATTGTCACTGAAATCACATCAAATTTACATTATTACCACATGTTTCAAATGTAAACAGATGATCTACAAAACAATGAGAGTGGTTGTGTCCTGATTTTAAAATACAATGTTTTGTACATATTTTAAAAACATTTCCTTAAAACTGTCTTGACACATTTACATGAACTAGTAACACTCATATCCCGTGAATTTCAGTTGGAAATAATGCAGTGTTTACTAGAAATCGCAAGTTTAGTCATTTTGACAAGACGCTTTATGTATTTAATGACGACCTAGTATGTTGCGTTTCTGTATATCCAGGATTTCTGACAAAATCATATATATCATTTCATGTACTTTATTATTTACTTTATTAATCTGAAAAACTAAAAATAAATGTTAACTCTTTCTTTACGGTATTAATAAAGCATTATTCTATTCTATTCTATATGACAAAATGAATGTTTGAAAGAGATGCCTCATAAAAATGTATGGCTCTGAGAAAATATGCTTGCCCTGCGGGTGTATTGATGAATACATTGGACTACGAATTATCATAAACTACTAGTAAAAGTGCTGCTTTTGAAGCCAAGTAATAATTTTATGGAACAATAAAATTCTCCAATATGCATTTGCACTAATTGTGTTGGTAGCACAATAATAATCACTAAATATGTTTATTTGAGAATATCAACAGAACATATAAATCTTATGAACTATTTGCTAATTTAGTAGTTCTTGAAATTGTACACAGTCATTATAGACTATGTGTTTCACGGCATTTTTGTGTCTGCATCATTGGGAAACTTTCTCCATCTTTATTTGGGGTGTATAAAATGTCATTTGCACGATATACCGAATCTTGACCTGGTATTTCATTTGTCGCACTGTCCACAAGTTTGTCTTTGGTATTTCTGTGGGTAAAGAAAAAAAAATATATAGTTTGGTGAAAACCTTCTAAGTTTGAAAATATAACAAAGTTTAACATGCATCATATTGCTAGTATTCAACATATCTAACTAAACCTTTTTTCTCAGTTTGTTTTAGTGTGTATTTATTTCATCTAACATACTTGTAGTTATGGCTTGTCTATCAGACTCAGCTTTCGATGTTTCTTTTAGTAGAGGGGGATAGCTGGTACAGGTTACAGGAAATAAATGCAATTTACGTTTTTACAGGATATAAAAGGAAAAGTTCTATTTACAATAAAAAAAATAGATTTTTACACTTCACAGATAAAGCAAATTGCTAATTACATTTTTATAATGTACTTGATAATCAAACTGGAAATTGCATACAAATTACGACATTTAATGTTGAAAAAGCTTCATACGCTTACAAAATATAAGGTCTTTGTACAAATTAAGGACGAATAAAATAGCTGATTAGATTTTACAACGAATTTTTGATTTTTTTATTTACGTTAAATTACAATATTACGAAAATACCCCTTACTGGCGCTCTTAGTAGGTGTAGCTTTTTGCAACACTAATTATAACATACATATTTCAGGTAGTGATTATCCTCCATTGTTCTACCAGACCCACCAGAGCTAACTGCTATTTAGCTCATATTAACTATTACTGATGCAGTTGACAATTGCTGATATTTTATTTATCTTTATTGTTTGTATAGTTTGTTTTTAAGGTGATTGCTTTCACAGTATTACTGTTTTTAAGGTGCTTTGCACTACAGGTCATTAGTGACTACTGCACTATACTGACCATATATTGGGGGAACTGTTGGACTTTGTTATTTTAGATAGTTGATAGTTCAGCATTGTCTCTCTCAGCTTAGCTCAAATAGATTGGTTTTGACGGGGTGCCCTGTTCATTATCAAATAAAGTTTATAAATAAAAAGTGTGTTGTATATACTTATATTCAATTTGCAAGCTTGCATTTATTTGCATAATTAATGAGCAACAATTCTAATATGCAAATAATTTTACTCATTGAGTGTACAAAAATGGCACATTGGTTTACTGGGTTGCAACTGTTTTTACCATTGCTGACAACAGAAGGTCAGTATTGCAAATTAAACTTCTCAATTGTCCATAGTTAAGACCATTTAGAATCAGATGCATAAACACACAGACTAAAGAAATTTAGATACATATAGAATACCTAATGAGTGACCCATGATATCAAATTTATTAAATAAGTTTATCAATTGTCATGTTATTAATTGTCATTGTCATATTTGCTGCAAAATAATCATGGCACAAGAATAATAAATCTGATTTTATGTGTCACAAATGTTGGTATTATATTTAATGCACATTAGGTATGCAATTATCAGCATTTGAATCAATAGAAACTAACATCAGATTATCTGGATGTGAATCCTAAGCCTCTCAGCATATTACATCTCATTTGCATCTCATTTGCATCTAGGAATTCGTTTTTAGATGTACTTTGCAGCCAGTTTATTAAAAGAAAGAAATTATTTTTGGAACCAGCAATGTATTTTGGTAAATTCTTAAAAGATCTCATATATACTTACACTTTCACTTTATCTGTAGATCCATTCCAAGGTCTTCTTCTTCTTAAATGCATTGTTGATTTTGTGTATGGAAGATCCGCATATGTGTCATCCCAGTATGGATCTTTCTCTAGATTCGGTATTTGTGCATGTAGCTGATCAACCAAAATGAAACCAACCTGCAATAAAGGACCATAGATTATCAAATGTGTTGTATTTTAAACTGTTTGTCAGTTCATTTTGACATTTTTAGGTGCCAAACTAACCACTAGTGTTACTAGGAGCCTACATGATACTAGCCATCAACTGCATTTACACACAAACCTTCTGCATTTAGTATCATTCAAATTGCAAATAATTTGTTAAAATATTGAATGATGATATTATGAAAACAAAATTTGTTCTCAAACGAAAGGAGCCTCTAATTTTTAATGGGTGTTAATTATATTTAATTTTTTTGTCAAGATAATGCATTTTACCTGTACATTTCTGTCAATGATATAATTCAGTTCAAAGTCATCATCATCGCCACCATATGGATTAATAATGGCTTGTGCCACCTGGAAGATTATGATTAAATAAAAGTGTTATTCAAAAAAATGTACTTCATGTACATTATTATACATTGGTAATGATGACTGTATTTCTATATTTCTCGGATGTTGAATAAAGTATGTAGTGGAATGTATCACTTATATTTCTATATTAATCATTCCTGTTGGGTCCTTAATTTTATGCCAAGCTGTTCAGTGGGCAGATGATGATAAGTTATATAATGGAATACAGTAAATATATGCGCATGCACAGTACACATTGATAGATACATTGTGCATATACTTAAATATTTCATATATTAATTAAATACTTCAATCCACAGAGTGCAACAATTAGTTACTGACAGTAATTTCATGTTCATGTGGATTTAATTTCAATTCCCAGATATGAAAAATTAAACTGACTAATTAATGAATTAGTATAAGTCTATGTTGTTTAATATTATTGTCCCTGTTGGCATAATATGTGCCAAATTAGTAGTATAGTTGGGAAATATATCTACCACACTAGGAATATGAGAGAAGTATACTTTCCTTAGCTTCATTTACATAAAGGAAACTCTAATTTTCCAAATAAGGTATTGGCTCATTTACATAATAGAACTCTAATTTCCAAATAAGGTATTGGCTCATTTACATAATGGAACACTAATTTTCCCAATAAGCTATTGACAATTTACATAATGGACACTGTAAATTTTTACATAAGGTATTGATTCATTTACATTTTGGAAACTATAAATTTCCATATAAGATATTGACTCATTTACATAATGAAACTATAAATTTCCATATAAGGTATTGACATCATATGCTTAATGGGAACTGAAAATTTCCATATAAGGTATTGACTTCATTTACTTAAAGGAACTGTAAATTTCCATACAAGATATTGACATCATTTACTTAATGGGAACTATAAATTTCCATATAAGGTATTGACTTCATTTACATAATGGGAACTGTAAATTTCCATATAAGGTATTACCTTCATTTACATAATGAGAACTGTAAATTTCCATATAAAGTATTAACTTCATTTATTCAATGGGAACTGTAAATTTCCATATAAGGTATTGATATCATTTACTTAATAGGAACTATAAATTTCCATATAAGATATTGACATCATTTACATAATGGGAACTATAAATTTCCATATAAGGTATTGATATCATTTACATAATGGGAACTATAAATTTCCATATACCTAATTGACTTCATTTATTTAATGGGAACTGTAAATTTCCATATAAGGTATTGATATCATTTATTTAATAGGAACTATAAATTTCCATATAAGATATTTACATCATTTACTTAATGGGAACTATAAATTT